GTCAGGGCCATCGCGTCGTCGTCATCATCATCATCAGCATCATCATCACGCCGTCGTCATCATGAGCACCAGCATCAGCACCATGAGGATCAGCATCAGCATCGTAATCATCATCATCATCACCATAATCACCAGCATCATCATCAGCATCCTCACTGTCGTCAGCATCACCATCCTCGTTACCATCAGCATTAACATCATTGTTTTATCATCAGCTTCATCTCCTGCAGCGTCAAATATATCGTCAGGGTCATCGCATCGTCATCATCATCATCGCCGTCGTCAGCATGAGCACGGGCATCAGCATCATCATAATCATCATCAGCATCATCATCTCAATCATCAGCAGCATCAGCCGCATCGTCATCATCATCACATCAGGTTCCTCATCGTCCTCGCCATCCTCCTACACCATCGTCCTGGCGTTCCCTCCACCCGCCTGAACGACAATACATTCTCTCTATCGCTCCTGGTCCCCCTTCTCCTCCACCTTCTGCTACTTCTTCCTCCTCCTCCTGCTTCTGTCGTCTACTCCTCCTGCGTCGTCGTCGTCCCCCTCCTCCCCCTCCATCCCGCCTCCTCCTCCCACTTACCCTCCTCCTCCTCCTCCTTCTCCTCCTCCTCCTCCTCTTCCTGCTAGTCCCCCCCCCCCTCTTCCTCACCACTCGCCCCCACCCCATCAATCGTCATCCTCCTCAGCGTGGGATTTCTCCACCTCCTCCTCCTCCTCCTCCTTCTCCTCCGCCTCCTCCTACTCCCAATTCTCCTCGACCTTCTTCCCCTGATCCTTCTCTAACACTGCTTATACCATGATCCCCCATCCGTCGCCTCGTCGTCCTCCTCCCCCGTCTGCTCCTCCACCTCCTTCGGTGTCTCCTCCTCCTCCTCCTTCCCCCCATCCCTCCTCCTCATTACCATCATCTGTCTCCCCCTGCAACCCCCATCCAGCCCTGCTCGTCATCGACGACTCGTAGTTGAAGTCCTCGTATGTGACGTCCTGGGCGCGACGTCACATCGACAGTTCAACTGGTCGCGTCATGGCCACCCTCTCGTTCCCACACCATCATCATCCTTGAGACCACCATCATTACCCTCATCAGTATCACCACCATCACCACCACCACCAACGCCATTATCCCAAATCATCTTTATCATCATCACCACCATCATCATCAGCATAATCAGCATCACAACCACCATCATCAGCATCATCATTGTCATCACCATCATACTCATCATCATCATCATCATCATCATCATCATCATCATGAGCATCATCATCATCATCATCATCATCATCATCATCATCATCATCATCGGCATCATCGTCATCATCATCGCCGTCATCATTTGTAACATCAGCATCAGCATCATCAGCACCATCAGCCTTTCCACCTCCATCATCAGGATCATCATCGTCACGAGCATCATCATCACCACCACCATCATCATCATCATCATCATCATCATCACCATCGCCATCACCACAATCATCACCATCAACAGCATCACCATCAGCAACATAATCAGCATCAGCATCATCACCAGCATCAACACCACCATCGTCAACATCATAATCATAATCATCATTATCATCATCAGCATCGTCATCATTATCATCATCATCAACATCATCAGCACCATCGGCATAAGCAGCATCGTCATCATCATCATCAACATCATCGTCAGCATTATCATCGTCATTAGCAGCATCGACCGTATCGGCATCGTCATCGTCAGCAGCGTCATGAGCACCAGTATCATCGCCAGCAATGGCATCCGCATCCTCACCACCAACATCATTGTCATCATCACCATCACCTTCAGCGACGTCAACATCATCAGCAGCATCATCACCAACAGTTGTATACAAATCCGCATCGCCAGCTTCATCAACATCATCAGCATCACCATCATCAGAACTGACAAGAGCAGCATCATCCTCAACCGAGTCATCATCACCATCATCAGCAGCAGCATCAGCAACGTCATCATCATTGCCGCCGGTATCACAATCGCTGTCATCGTCATCGTCAGTCCCATGGTCATGGTCATAATCCTAATCAGCATGGCCATGGTCAACAGCACCACCACCGCCACCACCACCACCACCACGATCATCATTACCATAATCATCATCATCAGCAGCATCAGCAGCATCAGCATCATCATCAGCATCATCAGCATCATCAGCATCGTCGCAGTCATGATCAGAATCAGCATCAGCAGCATTCTCATCATCATCGGCATCGTCAGCAACATCGCAATCGACACGAAAAATGCGCAAATTCATCATTCATTCATCTCATTTCACCGTCATTTGTTCTCTATCGCCATCATCATCGCTACAATCACCATCGGCATCCGCATCATCATCATCATCATCATCATCATCATCATCATCATCATCATCTTCATCATCATCATCATCATCACCATCATCATCATCATCATCATCAGCATCAGCACCATCATCATCAGCGTCGTCGTCGACGGCGGCATCACCATCATCGTCAACAACAAGCACCGTCACCATCAGCAGTTCCATCCTCACCATCATCAACACGCCCATCATCATCAACCTCATCATCACCAACGGCATCAGCATCGTCAGCATCAGCATAATCATTATCATGACCATCATCCTCATCATCAGCATCGCCATCATCATCGTCAGCATCACAATAATTATCAGCATCAGCATCATGCTCATCCTCATCCTCATTATCATCATCACCAGCATCATCATCAGCATTACCATCATCACGGTTATCACGATCATCATCATTACCACCATCATGATCGTCACTATCATCATCAACATCATCGTCAGCAGCATCAGCATCATCATCCTCATCCTCATCATCGTCATCAGCATCATCATCCTCGTCCTCATCCTCGTCATCGTCATCATCACCATCATCACCATCATCAGCAGCAGCAGCATAATCATCACCATCACCACCAGCATCACCATCATCATTACCATCGTCGTCGTTGGCATCGTCATCCGCAGCATCGTTACTGTCATCGCCATCGCCATTGCCATCGCCAGTGCCCGCCACCGCCCGCCATTGCCATCGCCAGTGCCATTGCCACCACGAGGGCTCCCAACTTCGCGCTCCGCGCCGCGCGAGAGCGCGGAGTGCGAACAGCTTCGAGCTCCCTCGCGCCGCCCCCCAGGGGAGAAGAGGAGGACGAGGAGGCATCGGAGCCGAACCGCGAAGCGCGAAGCGCGAAGAACCTCGCGCCCTCGAGGGCGCCCTCCTCCCCCTCCTCCTCCTCCTCCTCCTCCTCCCCCTCCTCCCCCTCCTCCTCCTCCTCCTCCTCCTCCTCCTCCTCCCCCTCCTCCTCCTCCTCCTCCTCCTCCTCCTCCCCCTCCTCCTCCTCCTCCTCCTCCTCCTCCCCCTCCTCCTCCCCCTCCTCCCCCTCGTCTGGCGCGCCCCGCGCGGACGGGGCACCCGGCTACAAGCTCCGCGTGCGAGCGGCAGCGCAGCGCAGACCGCCCTCCGCGGCGCGGCGCCCGCGGCAGCCGTCGGTGTTCCTTTTTTGTTCCGGCGACGCACAGGTACGCCTCCTCCCTCCTCCCTCCTCCTCCTCCTCCTCCTCCCCTCCTCCTTGCTCCCTCCCCCTCCTCCTCCCCCTCCTTCCTCCTCCTCCTCCTCCTCCTCCCCTCCTCCTCCTCGGCCTCCCCCTCCTCTCCTCCTCCCTCCTCCCTCCTCCCTCCCTCCTCCTCCCTCCTCCCTCCTCCCTCCTCCCTCCTCCTCCTCCTCCTCCTTCCTCCTCTCCCACCCCTTCCCCTCCTCCTCCTCCTCCCCCCTCCTCCCCCTCCTCCTCCTCCTTGACGGGGCCCTGGGACACACACATGAATAAACACAGATAACAGTACTCACCATATTTTCGTATGTCTTCTGGGTTTTTGTATTCCCCCCCCACTTCCCATATTTTCCATCTTTTCTGGGAAACCGAATATGAATTGTGTCTGTGTGCTTCTTTCCCTCCTGATTGTTTTTCGGCGAAGCCCGGATTTGCTTCTCGCGAGGTACACTGAGCTGCATCAGAGAATGGATGGATTCGGTCTGTGTTCGGGATTCGGTTCTTGTACTTTTTGTCTGTGGGGGGGGGGCCGAGGGGCCGGGCCGACGGCGACGACGACGAGGGCGACGGAGCGAGCTGAACCGAACGGACTGGTCGCGCCCGTCACGCGACTGTGTTATTCTCGGCCGCCGAGGGCGCAACCCGTGGCGCCACCGATAGGAGACGGTTTTACTCTCGGCCGCCGAGGGCGCAACCTATGGCGCAACCGATAGGAGAAGGTTTTACTCTCGGCCGCCGAGGGCGCAACCTATGGCGCAACCGATAGGAGACGGTTTTACTCTCGGCCGCCGAGGGCGCAACCTATGGCGCAACCGATAGGAGAAGGTTTTACTCTCGGCCACCGAGGGTGCAACCTATGACGCAACCGATAGGAGAAGGTTTTACTGTCGGCCGCCGAGGGCGCAACCTATGACGCAACCGATAGGAGACGGTTTCATTCTCGGTCGCCGAGGGCGCAACCTATGGCGCAACCGATAGGAAATTGAGCTGGTGCAGGAGAAGACGAGGAAGACGAGGAGGATGAGGAGGACAGGGAGGAGGAGGAGGACGACGACGATCAGGATGGGGAGGAGGACGGGGAGGCATACAAGCAGTACGAGGAAGAAGTATGGGCATTCGAATGCGTGCGGGGTTACGCCCGATGTATGCTCGCCGTTTGGGCTGGCGGTGGGACCCAAGCGGCGCGCTGTCTTTGACTATGTGTCTCTCTGAGCGTCAGCATTCCAGCTTGACCGCCCTCTCGGGACCACAACTTTCGGGGGCGCGCAAACATGGATTAACGATCCATGGACTTGGCGCGCGGTCGCCAAATCCATGGATCGGGGGAGGTGCCCTCCCCCAAATCCACGCCCCCTTAATCCATGTTTGCGCTTGCCTGAAACGTCACTCCTAGCACTGAGGCACAAACTGGCCATCGCTCGGGCGTCCATTCCCTGTGCTCTCTTCTTGGTTTCGTGCGTGGCTTTTTCGCCACATGATCAAGGATGCTCCTCGATGGCCCTCGCCGAAGGAGAAGTGCAAACGTCCGAGCGATGCCAGGCAATGCAAGGGCTCCCAACTTCGCGCTTCGCGCTGCGCGAAGCGCGAAGTGCGAATAACTTCGCGCTCTCGCGCCGCCTCCCAGGGGAGAAGAGGAGGATGAGGAGGAATCGGAGCCGAAGCGCGAAGCGCGAAGCGCGAATAACTTCGCGCCCTCGAGGGCGCCCTTGCAAAGGTGGTGCCCGACGGAAGCGCGGCTTCCAGAGCCCGTCGGCCCGTGCGGTCGCGGCCGGCGGCCACGAGCGAGGCGCGGAGTGAGCAAGGACCCACGCTCGACGGCTGTTGCGGCGGAGTGCGGAGCCGCCCATCGAGCCGAAACATCTATATATATATATATAGATATATATATATATATATATATTATATATATATATATATATATATCATATATACAAATATATATATATATATATATATGTATACATACATACATACTCATATACATATATACACATACGTATACAAACACACATACATATACATATATATACACATATACACATACCCATACACATACCTATACATATACATATGCATATAGCTATGCGTCCACATATACATATACATATACATATACAAATACAAATACATAAACATATACCTATACATACACATATACCTATATCTATACATATACAAATACATGTGCATATACACATGCATATACACATACATATACATATACATATACATATGCATATACATATACATGTACACTTACATATACATATACGTATACATATACATATACATGTACATACACATGTGCATATGCATATGCATATGCATATACATATATGTATATGCATACGAACACATACTCGACCGATCGATCTAGTCAAGCCGATCAGTCGATCGATCATACCGCATCGGCCGATCAGTCGGGTCGAGCCCGGTTCACAAACAGCCACGCCGTCCGCAGTCAGGAAGAGGCCCCGCCTGGATGTGTTGCGGGTCTCCCGATGCGGCGTTCTGGAGACTTCCAGGAGGCCCCGGCGAGGAGGCAAGAGCCTCCACCTCCTCATTCTTCCCGTCCAATTCCTCTTCCTCCTCCTCCTCCTCCTCCTCCTCCTCCTCATCATCATCATCAGCATCATCATCATCATCATCATCATCATCATCATCATCATCATCATCATCATCATCATCATCATCATCATCATCATCATCATCATCATCATCATCATTAGCCCCATCCCCGTCCTCATCGTCATCACCATCCCCATCCCCATCCTCCTCCTCGTCCTCATCATCATGCTGTTCCACCTCGTTTTCCTCCACCTCATCCTTACTCCCCAGTCCACTTCAATCCTCGTCCCCCTCCTCCTCCTCCTCCTCCTCCTCCTCCCCTCCTCCTCCTCATCCTCCTCTTCCTCTTCCTCTTCCTCTTCCTCCTCCTCCTCCTCCTCCTCCTCCTCCTCCTCCTCCTTCTCTTCCTCTTCCACTTCCTCCTGCTTCTTCCCTCCCTGCCTCCCCCATGTCACCATCATCCCTCCTTCCTCCATCCTCCTCCCTCCTCGCCTCCCCCACCCCCCTCCCTCCCCACATCCTCCCCTCCTCAGCATCTTCATCATCCAGATGTATACTCGATGATCATCTTTGGCAGCACGATAGCGGTAAAAGAGGAAGAGTGAGGTGACGATGATTCCTCGGATGCGCGCCGCCCACGGCCTCGGTCACGTGCTCGTGCGCGACGACCGAGCTGATGCGCTGGAGCCGCGGCACTTCACCGCTCTCGCAAGCCAAGACGAGGAGTGATCGGAAACCGCGCTCCCCCTCACCAGAGTGGCAGGTGGCCGGGCTGGCCGCGACGGCGCCGCCGCCCCAGACTTGTGCCTGTGGTCAGCGTTCTTGACCGCGGGGCTTCAGCTTGATGACGAGGCAGAGCCTGCATTTTGACGAGGCCGAGCCTGCATTTTTGCCGAGCTGCGAGCTCGGCGAGCGGGGGGCTCGGTCGGCCTGGCGGCACGGCTCCCGCCCCGGAGGGTCGCACCGAGCGCGACCGCGCGCTCTCGAGCTGCCTCCGCGGTCCTCCGCCCGGCGGCCTGCCCCCGCCCTGGAAGGCCATCGGGTGCGTTGCCACGCGCGCTCGACCCTCCTCCGCGGCCCTCCGCCTTGGCGTCCGCCGCCCTCCTCCTGCGCGACGGCATGGCGGGCCCTGGGAAGGATGTTCCGCCGCGGCGCGGCGTCGAGGGCGCAGGCCCAATAGCCCACAGCAGCGCCCAACCGTTATTCAGAAACTGCTAGAACGCCTGCGCCCCAAAGGCCACGGGCGTCGGGCAAGGAAGAGGATGCGCAATCGTATTGGCACACGGGGGCCTGCGTCCTTAGCCTTACCCTTATCCTTACCCCATCCTCATCCTCATCCTCGTCCTGATCCTCGTCCTCATCCTCATCCTCATACTCGTCTATCCATCCATCCATCCATCCATCCATCCCTCCCTCCTCCTCCTCCTCCTCCTCCTCCTCCTCCTCCTCCTCCTCCTCCTCCTCTTCGTCCTCTTCCTCCGCCTCCTCCTCCTCCTCCTCTTCCTCCTCCTCCTCCTTCTCCTCCTCCTCCTCCTTCTCCTCCTCCTCCTCCCCCTCATCCTCCTCATCCTCCTCATCCTCCTCATCCTCCTCATCCTCCTCGTCCTCCACCTCCTGCTCGCCTCCTCCCCCTCCTCCTCGTACACTGGGGCGCGGGGGGCGTCCTCTGCAAAGAAGCCGATCTGCTCGCTGATGGGAACTTTGCCCTGCGCCTGCGCGTCAGGGCGCCAGACTCCAGCAGTCGCCACTCTCCTCATTACACCCCTCCTCCTCCTCCTCCTCCTCCTCCTCCTCCTCCTCCTCCTCCTCCTCCTCTCCTCCTCCTCCTCACCTCCTCCCTCCTCCTCCTCCACCTCCTCCTCCTCCTCCTCCTCCTCACCTCCTCCTCCTCCTGCTCCTCCTTCCCCATCCCTCTTCCTTAAAGGACCTCCTCCCTGTCGCACTCCGAGACGGGTCGGTAGGGCGGGCCAGGATGTTCGCCTGAGACCTCCTCACCGCTAACGATCCTGAAGCTGAGACTGTGCAAGAGCTCCAGAGATGGACGGCCCGGCAATAGTTTCACGGATGGAGGGCGGGCCGTTTTCAAATGTGGTTCTGGCCATAGCGCCGCGCACATTCGTTTTACAAGTGCGCAATAGATTCACGCATGGAGGGCGGGCCGTTTTCATAATGTTGTTCTGGCCTTAGCGCCGCGCGCACTCGTGTTAAAAGATCACAAGGGCTTCGCGGATAGAGGGTGGCTCCTTTTCAAAATGTGGCTCTTGCCTCTGTGCCGCGCATATTCGTCTCAACGGTTCACAACCGTTGTAAGGGTTCTTATCGTTGACATCCCATACATGGTGTTTGACACGACTCAAAATTGTCAGGGCACGACAGTCACGTTGACTTGCGGTGTCCCGTAATGGTGTTCTGGCACGAAGTCCAGGAATGGTGCTTTGGCATTGTTGCAGATGTTCCGACGGCTGTCTTCCAACTGAGCACTTCCCGTAGTGAACATACATATTTGCAGGGACCTATGAAAAAGGGACTTGGAGGAAGGCTTTAGTGCAATATCGTCGATGGGTCTCGGGTGTATATTGGTCCTCATCCTTCTCCTGCTCCTGCTCCTTCGGTTTCCTCGTCCTCCTGGCTCCTACGTGCCCTGGCTCCTCCTCCTCCACCTCCTTCTCATCTTCGTCATAATCATCAGACTCATCATAACCATTATCGTCATCATCGCCACCACCAGAATCAGCATCACCACGACATCGTCAGCATCAGAATAAGTATGCGTCCTCCTCCTCCTCAGCATAACCAGAATCACCAGAGTCATCATCAGCACTATCAGCAGCATCACCATCATGATTATCGTCACCATCACCATCACCGTCATCATCATCACTGGCATAATAACCATCGACAGCCATATCATCAAGATCATCATTATCAGCAGCAGCAGCAGTGACATCACCCTCATCATCGGCAAATATTAGCTTTGCATAAACATGCGCATCCTCAACAGCAGCAGCCGCCGAAGCATCGTCATCATCATCATCATCAGCAGCACCGTCGTCATCATCAGCATCATCATCAGGAGCGTCACCATCCTCATAAACAAGATCATCACTATATCCCTCGCCACCGCTACCACCATCATTATCATCATCACCATTCTCAGCAGCAGCATTATCATCGTTATCCTCCTTCTCAGCAGCAGCAGCATCATCATCGTCATTATCACCATAATCCCGTTCAACATCCTCATGCTCACCATGATCACTATCCTTCTTCTCCTTCTCCTCCTTCTCTTAATCCTCATCCTCCTCCTGCTCCTCCAACTCCTCTTCCTCTCCTCCTTCTCCTCCTCCCACACCTCCTCCTCCTCCTCCTCCTCCTCCTCCTCCTCCTCCTCCTCCTCCTCCTCTAATCCTCCTCCCGCTCCTCATTCTCATCCTCCTCGTCATCATCATCACCATCACCATCACCATCAATATCACCATCACCATCACCGTCATCATCATCAGCAGCATCATCATCAGCACCAGCACCAGCATCAGCATCATCAGCAACAAAATCATCAGCATCATCATCAGCAGCAGCATTATCCCTCCTCGTCCGCCCCCGCCTCCGTCTCCTCCCCTCCTCCCTCCTCCTCCTCCTCCTCCTCCTCGTCCTCCTCCTCCTCCTCCTCCCTCCTCCTGCTCTTCATCCTCCTCCTCCTCCTCCTTCCTACCCCTCCTCCTCCTCTTGCAACCCCCTCCTCCTCCTCCTCCTCCTCCTCCTCCTCCTCCTCCGCCGCCTGCGCCTTGCAAAAGGAAAGATAAGGAGGCCAGGGGCGTAAAGGAGCCCGAGAAGTTCTGATGGTCTCTCGGGGGGTCCAGGGCGTCTTGCGGGGGGACGGGATTCGAGCGCCCCCCTCACCCCTGCAATCCTCCCGGCGCCTCCCTCCTCGCCCTCGCTCCAGCCTGCCCCCATACTACCAAAGTCTTGCGGAAAGAAGGAGCCCGGCGTGAGGAGCGAAGCCTCCTTTGGGGCCCCAGCAGCCCCATAACTCGCGAGGAGCGCGAAGGGATAGCCCAACGATGGGCCGAAGGCACTTGGAGCCCCTCCGAAAACAGAATGTCGACGGCGCGCCGAGGGAGGGAGTAACAGGGGGCAGGCCTTCTCAGAATGCAGCAGGGCTTCTCAGAAGCCCTCTGGCCTTCTGAGCATGCCCCGCCGTTTTTGTTTGCCGCGCATTTCGGCACACCCCGCTGCCCCGCTGGCACACACTGTTGGCGTGGCAGTTAGGAGCCGCAGCCGCAAATTTCGGCACATCCCTCACACGATTCCGTGGCCCCATAGGGAGCTCGACCTACGGCCAAAGCGGCTGCGTTCCCATGCGTCCATGCCGCAAATTTCGGCGGCACATCCCCCACATGTTGCGAGGCCCCATAAGGATTTCCGCCTAAGGCCCAGTGACTGCGTTCACATGCCCCCCCCGCCACACATGTCGGCACACCCCTCACGCGCTTCGTGGTCTCATAGCGAGCTGCACAGAAGGCTGCAGCAGGAAAGTTCGCATGCGTCCCCATCTTGTTATTCGGCACATCCCTCACACGTTTCGTGGTCTCACGGCGAGCTCCACCGAAGGCTCAAGCTGACAGGGGTGCGCACGCGTCCCCACCTCTCATTCCTGTACGCACCTTAGACGATTTCTGGCCCTGTAGGGAGTCCAGTGAAGACGGTTCGCATGGCGGCCGCCCCGTCATTTCGGCACACCCCTCACTGGCTTTGTAGCCCCATCTGGAGCTCCACCGAAGGCTCCACGAGCGATCCCCGCGCCCCTCCAATACTAGATCTCAACACACACACACACACACACACACACACACACACACACACACACACACTTTCGCTGATCGAGTTTCCCTACAGGGAACTCCTGATCCGTTCGCCTTCCCTTGTCCTAGCTACCCTGCGCTCCGTCTTTTCTGTGGCGCGCTGCCTATGGGAAGAGGGCCGCATCCAACGCCAGTCGAAGCATGGTCGCCCCATACTTTGCTGTGCCTGCCCTGCGGGACTCGCAGCTGAATATGGCTGAGTCCTTCGACAGGACAACTCAATACAGTGGGGGCTCGGCCACAAGAAACCTCCGCGAGAAGCCCAACCCTGAAATACGTGATTTGTTCCGTGAAAATCCGCATGTGCCGATCAAAAACCGTCGAGATCTGATTGGGAGCCCTTCAAAATCCAAGAAACCCAGGGCACCGTGGCAAAACCCAACTGGTTTCTTGGCACGCGCCCCCGCTGTACAACACGGGGTCCCCAGACGTCACCGATTCTGGCCAGGCACATCCTGAGCCCAGGATCGGTGCATACGCCCTCCTACCTTGGCCAGGAAGGCATATGCACCGATCCTGGGTCAAGGATGGGCCTTGCCAGGATCGGTGCATGTGCATAGTTCTCTTCGCCCGAACAATTCGAGACAACACGGGGCCCCCAGACGTCATAGCCCTTTTCCCCCGCGTGCCAGGTGTTCGTCCCGAGCTGCTTCTTGACGGTCCCAGGGCCCACCGGGGGCCCTCCAGACAGACCGACAGCGGCGAAAGGCCTCCCGCACCGCATCCTCATCACGTTGGAGGTCGGGGGACGAGGATCCCCCTCCTCCTCCTCCTCCTCCTCCTCCTCCTCCTCCTCCTCCTCCTCCTCCTCCTCGCTCCTCCTCCTCCTCCTCCTCCTCCTCCTCCTCCTCCTCCCCCTCCTCCTCCTTCTCCTCCTCCCTTCCACCCTCCTCCCTTCCCCCCGCCTCCCTTCCCGCTCCTCCTCCTCTACAATTAATTTCCCAATATGAATACTACTCTCCCTCTTCCCCTGATGGCGTCTTGGGAATATTCGCCCCCCCCCGCGTATTGTTTTTTACACACAGGTTTCTCCCGAGTTGGGTTTTCGCCTGCATTTTTCCCAAAATGCTGCTCTCGCTGAGGCGCCGGCCTCATTTTCGGGCCCCGCTCGTTCCGAATCGTGCTCCCGCTGCAGCGCTGGCATCATTTCCGCCGGCGCCCGGGCTGCACGCCCGAGCCGGCGCCCGGGCCGGCGCTCGGGCCGGGTCCGGAGCCGGTTCCGGCCAGCGCCGGAAAATCGAGTTCCGAGGCGGCGCTGAAAAAAAGCCATTCTAATATACATTTTTCTTTTGAAAATGCTGAATTTCTGCTTCCGGCGCCCGGGAGGCCTCCCGGGCCGATTCCGACGCCCAGGCTGGCGCCCGAGCCGGCGCCCGGGCCGGCGCTTCTGGCGCCAGGGAAGCCTTCCCTGGAGTTAGGTTTTCGCCTGCAATTCTTCCCAAAATGCTGCTCTCGCTGAGGCGCCGGCCTCATTCTCGGGCCCCGCTCGTTCCGAATCGTGCTCTCGCTGCAGCGCTGGCCTTATTTCCGTGCTTCCGCTCGTTCCGAATCGTGCTCCCGCTGCAGCGCTGGCCTCATTTCCGCGCTTCCGCTCGTTTCGACTCGTGCTCCCGGTGCAGCGCTGGCGTCATTTCCCGTGCCATGCCACGGCATGCAATGCAATGCTAGGTTGATGCTACGCTTCGCGGTGCTTTTCTACGCCATGCCATGCCGTGCTCTACAATGCATCGCGTACCCTTTCGGGATCATCGCCCTGCTTGACATCCGACTGTGCGAGTAGAGAGGGGATCTGCGCCATGGTAAGGGATGGGAGGGAGGGGTAGGATGTCAGATATGACGCGAGCGCACCTAGCTTGTCCCTTCCCCCTCCCCCTCCTCCTCCTCCCTCCTCCTCCTCCTCCTCCTCCTCTCCTCCTCCTCCTCCTCCTCCTCCTCCCTCCTCCTCCTCCTCCTCCTCTCCTCCCCTCCTCCCCTCCTCCTCCTCCTCCTCCTCCTCCTCCTCCTCTCCTCCTCCTTCCTCCTCCTCCTCCTCCTCTCCTCCTCCTCCTCCTCCTCCTCCTCCTCCTCCTCCTCCTCCTCCTCCCCCTCCTCCTCCTCCTCCTCCTCCTCCTCCTCCGCCTCCTCCTCCTCCTCCTCCTCCTCTCCTCCTCATCCTCCTCCTCCTCCTCCTCCCCCCTCCTCCTCCATTTCCTCCGCCTCCTCCTCCTCCCCTCCTTCTCCTCGTCCTCCCATCCTCCTCCTCCTCCTCCTCCTCCTCCTCCTCTTCTTCTTCTTCTTCTTCTTCTTCTCCGCCTCCTTCTCCTCGTCCTCCCATCCTCCTCCTCCACTTATTCTACTTATGTTTATTATTATTCTTCTTCTTATTATTATTCTTCTTATTATTACTATTATCATTGTTATTAATGTTCTTATTTTCATTATGATTAGTATTCATATTATTACTCTTCTTCTCCGCCTCCTTCTCCTCGTCCTCCCATCCTCCTCCTCCTCCTCTTCTTCTTATTCGTCTTCTTATTAGTCTTATTGTTCTTATTATTATTGTTCTGCGTCTTGCCATTATTATTATTCCTCCTCCTCCTCCTCCTCACCACCACCACCACCACCATCATCATCATCATCATCATCATCATCATCATCATCATCATCATCATCATCATCATCATCATCATCATCATCATCATCATCAACATCAGCATCATCAGCATCAGCATCATCATCATCATCATCATCATCATCCTCATCATCAGCATCAGCATCAGCATCAGCATCAGCATCAGCATTATCATCAGCAGCAGCATCATCATCAGCATCATCATCATCATTACCATCATCATCACCGCCATCATCATCAGCAGCAGCATCATTATCAACAACATCAGCATCACCACCATCACCATCATCAGCATCATCATCATCAGCATCATCATCATCATCATCATCATCATCATCATCATCATCATCATAATCAGAATCATAGTCTTCATCCTCCTCCTCATCATCATCCTCTTCCTCCTCCTTAGTAACTTCGCATTCGTTGTCTTGATAATAGTATTCGTATCAGTAGCGTGTTTCTTATGGCCAGTGCTATCATGGCTTGGTTTCGCATTATGTCGTGGTTATGGTTAAGTATTGTTTATCGTCCTCTTCATGTTCTTAGTATGTGTGTTACCAGTCTTCTTGTTAGTGTTCGTACGATTAGAACTAGTATGAGAAATATTATTTCATGGTGACACCGATGATCACCATTATTATGATTCAGCATGTGTATGGTATGCGTAGCATGATCCCTCGCCTTCTCAACCGCACGATTATCACTGCGGCTGCTCCTCTCACGAGTATGAGGGGTGCTTGTTTTAGTGCTGCTCATACTACCCTGGTGATTGATAGCCATGCCATTCTGACTGTGATCGCTGCTCATATTTCCTTTTTGCTGCCGCCTCCGCTGTTATTATAGATCCGCCTTTGTCTTCTTCCCCTCGCTGGCCATCGCTCGGACGTCCATTCCCTGTGCTTTTCCGGTTTCGTGCGTGGTTTTTTCCGCCAAATGATCAAGGATGCTCCTCGATGGTCCTCGCCGAAAGAAACATGCACACGTCCGAGCGATGCCAAGGAGGGGGGAGGGCTGCTCAGAAGCACCCCTGCCTCTGAGAAGGCGCGGGCCGTGCCTACGGATGCAAGGCCGGCGCCTCCTGAGGAGCAGCCTCCTTCCAAGAAGACCTCCCGTTTGCATCGACCCCCGTCTCGAGGCTCCCGAACCCCTCCTCCTTCTCCTCCTCCTCCTCCTCCTCCTCCTCCTGCTCGTCCTCCTCCTCCTCCTCCTCCTCCTCCTCCTCCTCCTCCTCCTCCTCGCATACGGCGGCAAGGATCCCCCCCCACACGCTCCCGGCGCCGCGGCCTCCTCCCACAGGTAGCGGCAGAGGTCGCTGGCCCCGCGCGGGGCCCGCGGCTCGAAGCCGGCGGTGCCGAAGTCGGCCTCTCTCGCTGCGAGCCACGCGGCGTGGGCCGCGCTGCGGCCGCGATCGGGAGGAGGGAGGGGGAGGAGGAGGAGGAGGAGGAGGAGAGGGAGGAGGAGGAGGAGGAGGAGGAGGAGGAGGAGGAGTAGGAGGAGAGAGGAGGAGGAGGGGGGGAGGAGGAGAGGGAGGAGGGGGGAGAGGGAGGAGGAGGAGGAGGGAGAGGGGGAGGAGGAGGAGGAAGGAGGAGGAGGATGAGGAGGAGGGATGAGGGGGAGGAGGAGGGGGGGGAGGAGGAGGAGGTGGAGAAGGAGGAGTGGAGGGGTAGGAGGGGAGGAGAGGAGGAGGAGGAGGAGGAGGAGGAGGAGGAGAAGGAGGAGCAGGAGGAGGAGGAGGAGGAGGAGGGCGACGATGACGATGATGATGGTGATGGCGATGGCGATCACAGCCGCGACGGCGACGACGACGATGCGTTGCCAATGTCGCGAGTTGGACAATGCTCGCCACGGTATTCTGTTTCGGCCTTCGCCTTCGCCTTCGCCCGCGGTCGTCGCAGGCCTACCTTTTCATTGAGTTCTGCAGCAGCTCGAAAAAATGCTGGCCATATGCCTTTTTTTGTTTTGTCGAGCTGGTCCAGGATCCATGTTACGTCTTTCGCCCGCGACGACGCTCCACGGCAAGTTTCCTGAGGGCTCCGCCCCCTCGGGCACGCATGAATCCGCCGCTGCTGCAGCAGAAAAATACCCTGATCGGACAAGAACGGGAAGCGCCGCTGTGGTCTGATGGGCGTGTTGGGCGAAGAAAGAAGACACGGACGGCGAGGACAAGGAGGAGTCGACGGCGAGGACGACGTGGCGAACGCGAGGACAGCGAGGAGGAATAGCACCCCGTCGCGAGCGACGGCGCGGTGGCTGGAACGAGGAGGCCTGCCCCCGACCTGCTGCCGCGCGCGGGCCTCGGGGGGCGCGGCCAGCCTGCTCCCAGGAGCCACTGGGAGCAGAGAAAGGGTGACAGAGGCGGAGGGGGAGCAGGAGGAGGAGGAGGAGGGGGAGGAGGAGGAGGAGGAGGGGGAGGAGGAGGAGGAGGTGATGGAGGAGGAGGAGGGGGAGGAGGAGGAGAAGGAGGAGAGGTAGGAGGAGGAGGAGGAGTAGAGGAGGCTGAAGGCACAAAGATTCTGAGGAGGAGGGAGGAGGAGGAGGAGGAGGAGGGGGGGCGCCAGCCATTGCAAAACTCGGGCTCTCCCGCCACCACGAGCCAGACAGACCGAACGCGAGGCCTCGACCCCCTGTCCACCCCTCCTGCTGACGTTAGGGGCACGCGCGCTGGTGGCCACAGCTGCTCTCCGAAACATGCTGGGACGGAGTGCCAAACCCCGAGATCCGACGCTCCAAAAAAATGGGAGCAGGCGGATTTTAACAGATTTCGGCCTCCGGGGGCCCTCGCCGGGCCTCGGGAGCGTCAAAAAAGGACTCAGGACGAAAAACCGGTCCTGGGGAAGCGGTCCAGACCTCTGGGACCCACGCATCGAAAAAATTGGAGCAGCCGGATGTCTGGGAACAAATATGCAGCAAGGGCCAGGGCTCCTTCAGCCTGAGCCTTGGCAGCGCCACCGTCCTGCAAGACACTCCCGAGCACCGCGCGCGCAAGTTCCCCACGCGAGCAGCCTTGTTCTCCACAACCTGGACGCGCTGAGCCCGGCCAGGGCGAAGATGCAACCTCCTGGCTGCGTACACCCAGGCCTCCGACGTCGTGATTTTTTCACGACGTCGACCCCCAGAGGTCTGAACCCTTTCCCCGGGGCCGGTTTTTCGTCCCGAGTCGTTTTTTGACGCTCCCGAGGTCCGGTGAGGGCCCCCGGAGGCCGAAAATAGCGAAAAACCTCCCGTCATGATTTTTTCACGACGCCAGGAGGTCTGGGCATGTTTGGATGCCCGCTGGCTTGTTGGCATGGAGCCACTGTCTCGGAACGCTCAGCTATGCGACTCGGTCAGGGGCGACATGGCTCTCGACGCTGCGGCCAGAGACGCGGCGCCCCCCTCGGGCCGCCTGAAATATCTTCCAGAGGTCCCTGCTCGTTCCGGTTTTGCCGGCGTCCGGTTTTCCGACGCCGCGCACCGCGCGCGCGCCGCGTCAGTGCCGTCGGCGGGTTCGCCGCCAGGCGGCATGCGAAACGCGCGGGCCAAGACCTCTGGCCAGCAGAAGAACGCCAGCAACTCGGCGCGATTGCTCGCCTGTCTGGACCCGGGAAGGCCCCCCGCGGAACCCTGGACGGCCCCGAGCTGGCTCCGGGCAAGGGCCTCGCACCAGGCTGCCACTCGGGCATACGCCCATCCACGTCAACGAAGACGGGGGCCTCTGGAGCCGGCCCCTCTGCCCCCCTAGAACCCATGTCCAGGAGAAGGCGTGGGCGATCCACGACGGCGGCACTTGCCGTGGCCACAGGCGCTGCCCCTCGGAGGGCGGGCCGACGATCCGCCCGCTGGCCGGGGATCCGGCCGCGGGGCAGGAAGCGCGGCAAATCGCGGTGGCCTTCGGCATCTTCTAGCCCCAGACCCCCGACGTCGTGATTTTTTCACAACGTCGATCCCCAAAGGTCTGGACCCCTTCCCCGGGACCGGTTTTTCGTCCCGAATCGTTTTTTGACGGTCCCGAGGCCCGGGAAGGGCCCCCGGAGGCCGAAAATTGGGAAAAACCTCCTGTCGTGATTTTTTCACGACGCGAGGGGGTCTGGGGGAAGCGCGGCAAATCGCGGTGGCCTTCGGCATCGTCTAGCTGCAGGTCGGCCGCTTCTTGGCAAGCTTTGGCCGCGCGTCGCCGGCGCCGGCAGCTCCGAATGGCGCGACGAGGGGGGGTCTCGGGCGCTCGCCCGGCGCAGCGGGCGCAAAGCGAAAGCTGCTCGCTGGAAATCCCTGCTCGGCAAGGGTGGCCCCTGGGCAAGCTCGACCCCGGGGCCGCGGTCGCATCCCCCCCCCCCACAAGCCCCAATGCCTAGCCCAGACCTCCTCGCGTCGTGAAAAAATCACGACGGGGGGTTTTTCCCTATTTTCGGCCTCTGGGGGCCCTTCCCGGGCCTCGGGAGCGTCAAAAAACGACTCAGGACGAAAGACCGGCCCCGGGGAAAGGGTCCAGACCTCTGGGGGTCGACGTCGCGAAAAAATCACGACGTCGGGAGTCTGGGAGGGTGGCCTGGCAAGGTCGACCCCGGGGCCGCGGTCGCATCCCCCCCCCCCAACAAGCCCCAATGCCTAGAGCAGCCGCGGAGGTCGTCGCATCGAGGACGCGGGGGATCTGATGGAGAGAGAAGGTCTGCGCCACCCCCATACCCCGCCCCCTGAGTAGCGTGGGCGCGGGCTGGCTTGCTTCCACGCTTGGCTCCAAGGGCCCCGGGCGCCATCGGGCAGCAACGGCTCGCAGTCCCCAGACCTCCGACGCCGCGATTTTTTCACGACGTCGGCCCCCAGAGGTCTGGACCCTTTCCCCGGGACCCGTTTTTCGTCCCGAGTCGCTTTTTGACGCCTCCGAGGCCCGGCGAGGGCCCCCAGAGGCCGAACCGAAAGGAAAACCTCCCGCCGTGATTTTTCCGCGACGCCAGGAGGTCTGGGGCGGGGGACTGCCAAGTCAGAAAGGGCCAGGCCAGTGGCCGCCCGGCCCGCGTCGGGCAAGACTCGAGTGGCCCCCGACGTCGGCCCTCGAGCGAGTCCCCGGCGGCCGGTCTTCGGGGCCCGGGCGAGACGCGGGGCCGCCCCGGGCCATGCGCCTGCCAACCTGGGAGCGACGCGCACGCTGTGCTGCCTTGCGCGCGGGTGATCAACCGAAACCAAGTCCGAAGCTGCCTCGCTCGCAAATGAGCCCGCTGACGCGCGGCGGAAGACGTGGAGCGGAGCGTGCGCGCACGCGGCGCCATGACATCATCGTCATCTGAGTCATCATCTTTTCCTCCTCGACCTCCCTCGGCATAGGGTCGAGGAGCCTTTTCGGTAGTGCGTTACTGCTGTCAAGGATAGCCGCTCAGCTCGAACGCCGCGTCGGCAGCCGGGCAGCGCCCAGCCCTCCGCCCCCCAAGCGACCCCGCGATCGCGCGCTGGACGTCGGTGATCTGGGCAGGGGCCTGGCCCGAGGCCATGGCTCCGCGCGCAAGGCGGGGGGCTAGCGAGATGGAAGAGCGCGTGCGAAGGGCCATCCTGAGATGATCTTACGAAACATGGGGGGCTGCCTGAAAGCTTGGAAAACTTTTTCCCACGCTTGAATGCGATTGTCGCGCCTGGACCCTCTTCCGAAGCACAAATGAGACATGGCAGCGCTCGATTGCAGACGGACGCACTGGCGCGCTTGTTAAAATCATTGCAGACCGCTTCGGCTATTTCACGGTCCGATCCGATCGCGCCGAGTCGCAGAACAAAAAAAGCCCTTCCCTTTGGCCCTGGTCACCTCGAAAGGAAGAGGGGATAAAACAACGAATGAAAAAGACTGCTACCCCCCCCCCCCGGGGAAAAAAAAACTGCCATCTGGCCTAAAGGAGGCGCTAACACGTAGGTCGGTCCTTCAGCGCGCTGGCAAATGTCGTCAACCCACCGGCGCAACCGCACTGCTTTGGGCAAGAAGAAGCGACTGTGGACCCCCCCGAGGCGATCGTGAAACTGCAAGGGCGACACAAGCATCGCTGTCTCCTGCGAGCTAGGAACCCGCTGGGTCGATCGGCGCAACGACGGCCTCCGCGAGCGAAGGATTCGCGGGGAGAGATACAGCGCGGCAGACGCCCCTAGCTCGCGCGGAGAGAAGTCCAGGCCTGGCGCCTCCGCGAGAAGCATGAGCGGGTCGACGGCGTCGTAGAACTACGCGAATTCCCACATCACATTCGGAACAGAAATGCAAAGCTCGCCTGCCACGCCGTCGCAGACATGCCGAACAATCCGTGCTGAGGGGCACTCTTGCCGCTGGTGGCCCGGCCCCAGTGACCAGCCTTGGCAGCGCGCCAGGTGGCCCCGAGGTCCTTGCGCATCCGCGCCCATAAGCGCAGCGCCCG